GTGCCACCATGCCCAGCTAATTTTTTGTATTTTTAGTAGAGACGGGGTTTCACCATGTTGACCAGGATGGTCTCGATCTCTTGACCTCGTGATCCACCCGCCTCGGCCTCCCAAGGTGCTAGGATTACAGGCTTGAGCCACCGCGCCCGGCCATTTTCAGATATCTTTATAGCAGTGCCCCACTCCTGGTACCAATTTTCTGTGTAAGGCCATCCTTATGTGACTATAAAGGAATACCTGAGACTGGGAAATTTCTAAAGAAAAGAGGTTGATAGTGGTTCTACAGGCTATACAAGCATGGCACCAGCATCTGCTCAGCTTCCGGGGAAGCCTCGGAGTCAAACAACCAGATCGTGTGAAAACTCACTATGGTGAGGACAGGACCAAGCCATGAGGGATCAGCCCTCATGACCCAAACATCTCCCACCAGGCCCCAACTCCAACATTGGGGATGACATTTCAACATGAGATTTGGGGGAAAGGTATCCAAACTATATCACCCAGGGTAGCATTTTTGACTGTTTTTTACACTATGATGGCAACATTAGTAGCCGCAACAGAGAATGTATGGTCTGTGAAGCTGAAAATATTTCCTATCTGACCCTTTACAGAAATGTTTACCCATCCATGCTCTACAGGGGAGAGGGGTATGCCGGCTTTAGCAGATGAAGCAGGGTAGGAGGGCTGAGGATGAGGAAGGCTGCACCAGGAAGGAGAGGGAGGAACTGAAGGCATGGAGGGAACCAGCCTTGAAGCCTTGGGGGAGGCCAGTGCAAAGGCCCCGAGGTGTGACAAGGGCTAGAGGGACTGCAGTGGAGAGGCCCGTGCCAAAGAGCACAAAGCCGGCTCTCCCCGGAGCGAGATGGAGGACCCCCAGAGAGCCAGGAGCAGGGGAGCATGTAATTTTATTATGTTTTATTTTATTTTAGAAATGGGGTCTCTGTTGCTCAGGCTGGAGTGCAATGCTATCTCAGCTCACTGCAACTTCTACCTCCCGGATTCAAGTGATTCTCCTGCCTCAGCCTTCTGAGTAGCTGGGATTACAGGCACCTGCCATCATGCCTGGCTAATTTTTGTATTTTCAGTGAAGATGGGGTTTCACCATGTTGGCTAGGCTGGTCTAGAACTTCCAGCCTCAAGTGATCACCCGCCTCAGCCTCCCAAAGTGTTGGGATTACAGGTGTGAGCCACTGCACCTGGCTGATTTCTGTTTTCAGAATCTCTCTGCTGTGGTGTGGGAAATACTGTCGATGGAGGGGCGAGAGGGAAACCTAGGAGGCCAGTGGGGGAGCCATTGCCAATGGCCTAAGCTGAAATGATGGTGACCAGGATGGCAGCAGCAGAGATGGTAAGAAGTGACCGGATTCTGGGTCTCTGCGAGGGCAGCGTGGGTGTGGAGAGCAACAGCCGGGCTGAGAAAAGGGGGAGTTCAGGATGACGTCAGCGTGTTTGGCCTGAGCCTCAGGAAGGCGGGACTGCTGCTCACTGGGGTTGCATGTGATGGGGGAACGGACGGGGGAGACCCGGGGAGGAAGGGTCTTGGGCACGGAGCGGGGTGGGATGTAGATCCTTCGCCTGAATGCACCCATGGAGATTCTGTTAGACCTCTCAAAAAAGAGTGGAGTGGGCGGGGCCCACGGACCAGGGAAAAGGCTGGCCTGGCCTGACAATGTGGACTCTTCCATGATCCCAGAGAAGCAACTGAAGAAAGAGCTTCAAGGGCTCAGCCTTGGAGACCTCCAAGTTCAGAGGTCGGCGAGAAGTGGGAGAGAATGGTGCCCAGCCATGGGCGGAGGAAGTGGGTGGAACGTAGGACCCAGTGTGTGGGCTGCGGCTGCCCAGGCCAGTGGGGCGAGCCTGGAAACTGGAAACGTGTCACCTGGACTGAGCGTGGGCCGGCTGTTCGTGACCTGGAAGAGACCTGTTTTGAAATGCAAAGCAGCTCTTACGCATCTGGCACTTACTGAGGCTCAGGCACCGTGATATGAACTCGGGGGCATCCAGGACTCCTCGGGGCTGAGGCGGGGAGCACCTTTCCCTGCACCCTGATGAAAACCTGGGCAGTTGCTGTGCAGCGGAGTCCTTGAGCAGACTCACTTCAGTAACTGCAACTCCAGTTCCAGTTTAATGATCAAAATTCTCAACCAGGTGCCGTGATCCACACCTATAACCCCAGCACTTTGGGAGGCCAAGCAAGGCAGGAGGATCACTTGAGCCCAAGAGTTTGAGGCTAGCCTTGTCAACACAGCAAGACCTTGTCTTTACAAAAAATACGAAAGTCAGTTGGGCGTGGTGATGTGTGTCTGTAGTCCCAGCTACTCGGGATTCTAAAGTGGGAGGATTGCACGAAGTTCAGGACCAGCCCAGGAGTTCACGATCAACATGGTAAGACCCTGACTGTGCAAAAAATACAAAAGTTAGCCAGGTGTGGCGGTGCAAGCCTGTGGTTGCCGCTAATCGGAGGCTGAGGCAAGAGGATCACTTGAGCCCAGGAGGTTGAGGCTGCAGTGAACTGTGATCACATCACTGCAGTGCAGCTTGGGCAACAGAGCAAGACCCTGTCTCAATAAATAAATAAACAACTTAAGCTTATTTAAAGCCACAGCTTTGGGAAGTCGCAGCAAAGAAGCCACCATGGAGAAAGGCCAGGCCAGCTTCTTCTCTCTTTCTGCACCTGCTCAGCTGTCTCCGCTCCTCAAGGAGGAACAGAGGGAACAAGAAAGGACACCCAGGGAAGCCCAGCACCCCATGACCAGGCTCCAGGGCCCCGTGGGTTTGTGGATTCCCAGTGCTGAGTCCTCCCTCAAGGGCTGTTGTGGGCACCTTGGACATTGCTCAGAAGCAACTGGTCCCCGGAAACACACGCCTTTGCCTGATCATCTGGGAAGGGCAGCTTGCCCCAGTGAGGCCACCTGTCCATCTCCATGGCCCGCCAGGCAGCGACAGCCACAGCCTCAGCCTCGACTTCAATCAGAGCAAACACCAGACGTGTGTGTCATACCACCAGCTCCCTATCTCCAGGAGACACAGGTCCTTTCTTGCCAGGCCTGAGATGAACAAGGGAGGGACGAGGCCCCAAGCCTCTCTCTTTCTCGCCTCACCCACTCCTCTGTTGGATTCTCAGAGCGGATGGTGGGCTAACTAGGGCAACCGACCATCCCAGTTTACCTAGAACTGAGGGGATTTTCAGGGATAAAACCACGAAAGTCTGGACCAAACAGGAGGGAGTTGGTCGCCTGGGCCTTGTGGAGTTAGGTTTCCTTCCACAGGCCCCCACCCCGCAAGCATGGGTGGAACCCAGGACAGGAGCACAGAGCAGGCCCCAGGAGCGGGCCTGCCACTTACAAGTCTTTTTTTTTTTTTGAGATGAAGCCTTGCTGTATGGCCTGGGCTGGAGTGCAGTGGCGCCATCTTGGCTCACTGCAGCCTCTGCCTTCTGGGTTCAAGTGATCCTCTTGCCTCAGCCTCCTGAGTAGCTGGGACTACAGGGGCACATCACCATGCCCCGCTAATTTTTTTTTTCTTTTGAGACAGTCTCGTTCAGTCACCTGGAGTGCAGTGGCGCAATCTTGGTTCACTAC